TATAAAATGCAAATCTTATTAAGAAAAATACATTAAAAATTTAAATATGTTCTCGAAATGCTTGATATAAAATAGCAAACATTGACGAGAATTTCAATATTACTTGAATTTTATCAAATAAGATAAAATAAAACAGTAGTAATTCTTGAGTATTATAATTCTTTAACTTTAAAAAATGTTAAAACTCTAATTATTTATTAATGTCTTTGTTAATGAAATTTTATGTTGATAATTCAATAAACAGCAATTCATTCTGGGCAGTATTTGCATATAAAGAGAGTAAGGGCCTTAAGGCCACAACAATTCTGATTCTGTTTAAAGACACAATTATGCAGAGATCTGACAATAATCAGTGCTATCAAAAGCTTGGTATGGAGCTCCTTTTTTCTTTTTTTTTGAACAAATGAAATATGCACAAAATGCTTTTCTTTATTAATAAATAGCAATGTTAAAGATTTTATTTTTTGTTAGTAAAAGTGACATTAAATAATGCGAAGAAAAACTGATACAGACAATAAGTTTTCCTCGATCACAGAGAAAAAAACTTAAAGACCATCAAGAGGGAGGAGCTGGGGATTTTCCCCGACCTGGAGAAAACACAGTTGCCCTTAGTGGTTCCTATCCCAATAATTAATGTTATTCTTACTAACAAAGAATAAAATCTTTATTAGTAAAGAAACATTCCAAACATTTCATTTGTTCAAAAGAAAACGAAAGAAAAAAGGCACATTACGGGGTAGACGGAACCGCCCTATCCTCGGGTCCCATACAAACTCTCGACAACCCCGATAATAATAATATAAACTACGAACAGGGCATTTAAATGGCTTTCTTTAAAGAATACTCTTCCTTTCGACACATTAGAAACCGATAAAAGGTTACTTCTCACACATATCTCGCATATACGAGACTATATTCCAGACATTTCTAGTAAACAGCTCCGGAATACACGAGAAGAGACATAAAACTCAATTATTACAAGACCTTGGCGAACATTAAAAGCATATCGAGATTTAAATTTCCAACCCATCCAAAGCCTGAATTAATTATAAAATATTTAATAATAAATCTGTTTACNCTTAATTGTTTATTCCAGGTTATGGCCATGTTACGCCATTATCAAATTTTGGTAAAGGATTTACAATTTTATATTCCGTTTTTGGAATTCCATTAACGCTCATCTTACTGGCGGCATTTGCGGAGCGACTGATGCTACCGGTTCTAATGCTGTTAAGATTGATGTTTGATGCTCTACACTTAATTATGAGACCTTTCTTCATCCAGTTCCTTCATCTCATTGTAATTGGGGTGAGTTAAACCTAAAAATCTGAAAGTGAAAGCGAGAGAGGAAGGTTCTGAAATGATTTTTCTCTTCCACAGACCCTAATTGTGGCATTCCTTTTCATTCTTCCATCTGTACTGTTTACTTATCTAGAACCCAACTGGGATTTTCTTGATAGTTTCTACTTCTGTTACATATCCCTCACTACTATTGGATTGGGAGACTTGGTTCCCGGTGAAAGTCTAGGATTAGATTACAATAATCTATACAAAGTTTTCACTTCAGGTGAGTTTAGTAGTCTGTGTTTCCGTTTACTAGAGATTACATTGCGTAAACATGACTTTTATTTTCAGTTTATCTTTTGGTGGGTTTGACTTTTATGGTAATGTTCCTCAGTCTGGTAGCCGAGATTCCGCAGCTTAATCTAGGATTATTATTCTTGAAGAAAGGTGATGAGATTACGGACGATCCGGAACAAATGAGACTACCTTTACAGTCTAGTGATAAGTATCAGAGGTATCTTATGCCGCAAACTACCGATCAAATAAAGGCGTCGGTGCTGATAAATCAGTACGATTCTTACGGAGATAAAAGTGTCATACAGCAATAATGGGCTGTTGTGTAAAAACAGCTTTTTTCTTTGTTCTTTGATGTGTAGGCAATGTCACAATGCACCCAAATGCTGAATTCAAAATAAAATATTCTTGTACATAATGTGTTAATGATATTTAAATAAATCTAAGCTGTTAAAATTAATAAAAAATATTAAAAGTTTAGGTTTTAAATTTTGTATAATAATTTAAATTGTTTATACAAAAAAAAAAACGAATGTAAGAAACTGTAAATATGTGTAATTTTAATACAACTGAACTGTAAATATTTAATTTTATTGGTATTGTGTCTGTATTTTGTATGTGTTAATAAAACTTGTATTATACAATTCTTTAGAGTTAAATTCTACAATGTTTCTTTACATTAAATAATAAATTTTAATGACTAAGTGCTTAAATATTATAGCCATATGCTGTAGCAATTCACTACTAATGTTGCAGCTGCAATGTAAATTTATCTCTTTTTATTATGTTTTAGTAGAACATAATCCAACCTGAGATCTATATAATATTTTAAAATATTGAAAGAAAAATTTTTAATGTACATATTTAATTATACATAAAATGCATATATACATGCTGTTTTTTTTATAAACAATTGATATGTATAATTAACTATCTTGAGCAATTATCATTTAACATAGCAATGTTAAAAATACTGCAAACTTAGATAAAAAATTTTATACCGTAATAAAGTATGTAGAAAATCAAATCTGAAATACACATGAAATCAAACATTCAAAAATCATGTTTATATTAAGATTCTATTACTTCTAATAAATAAATATGTATGATGATTCTTTGCAAATGATGACAACAGGAAGAAAATAAGAGCAGAGGAAGCATTAACAAATATGCAAAAACTATCAGTTGGTGCATATACAGTTTATGTTAGTTTTTTTTTACAGTTCCATCATCATCTGTAACGATGGTGTGGTACTAAGGTAGATTCCTTCTTGTAAGTACCATTTCTCAATTGTCCGCTTTGTCATATATTAGGAAGTGGATCGTATTTACGGAGCGTTCGTGAATGTAAATGAGCATTCCTTTCTGGTGTTGCTAATGCACCAGGAAAATTCGATAACTGAGGAAGTATGGGCTGAAGACCACTCTGCAAAAAATGTCGCTTTTTTTCCCATAAAATGTAGTTTAAAATTCAATAATTAATTTTAAAGTTAGTTGTATTAAAATATATTTACCTTTTCTCTTCTGATTCTACTTTGCATGATTTCTGGCTCTAGATCACTTATATTTGCATTATCAAAATAAGAATGTTTAAGTAACTGTTCACACGTATACCTCATTTGCGGATCTTTATCTAAACATCTCTGGAATTTTGATAGAAACATATTTTTATGATTTCAAGACTACAAACTTAAACAAAAAAATGTTATGTTTATAAATAAATACAAAAGATATTTAATTCACTTTTACCTTTAAGAAATCCAGTCCTTGCTCATTCACTGAAGGAGGCATTTTGCTTTCCAAACTTTCCTAAAAATCCAAAGTATTTATATAATTTAAATTAAAATACATAAATACACACACATATATATTTTCATATTTACTCTCGAATCAGGTTCTGGAATGTTAACTCCGGAGAAGAAATCATTAGATTTGAATATTTGTATGTGTCTGGGAATAAGATTTCCTATAAAAGAAAGCTTATTTGTAAAAAAAGTCTTAAATATTGATTGTAATATCATTGTAATGTTGTGCTGCAACTTATAATCATATTTTAATTTCAAAACTGATTTGAGCTTTCCATATCTGATCTCAGTTTTCATCTAACTTTGTTCTCAGGATTATGAAAGGATGGTCAACAGTGGGAATTTACAGGTCTGCAATTTTAAAATTGCAGACCTGTAAATAAAAGTTAGTCAAATCGCAAAACTAATTGTCCTGCCATAATTTTGTTTTTATTACATTGTGTAAGACTTATATATCATATAATTTTTTAAGTAATATAATATCAAATCTATACTGATATATACATTTATATCAGTAGAGATCTAATATTGTATTACTTAAAGTAACTTAAAACAGTAAAAGTAACTTAAAACATACCCAGAGTTTTGCAGATAAGATATAATTGATCAACATCTGATTTTCCTGGCCAAAGAGCTTCACCTTTCATTAATTCTGCTGTTACACAGCCTATTGCCCAAACATCTACAGCAGGACCATACTGAGTGTCCCCGACAAGAAGTTCAGGTGCTCGATACCATCTGGTGGCAACATAATCAGTATATTTTTCACCTGGATCTAAATAATATAAATTATATTAAATAACTTTAAAAGTAAAATTCTAAATAAATATAAAATAAAACTATACATACTCATAGTTCTAGCAAATCCAAAATCACAAAGCTTCACAATTCCTTCTTTGGTAAGCAAAATATTTTCTGGTTTTACATCCCGATGTATACACTAAATTATATTTTAAGATTGTTTTTTAGTGAGTAATTCATAACAGACAAATAACAACACTTGATAATGCTTACATTATGCATGTGACAGAAGTTAATTGCTTGCAATGTTTGCCATATAATTCGTTTTGTCATGTGGTCTGGAACACTATAATAATTATTTATTAAACATTTTTGCTTAATCGATTAAATATAAAACCTTATAACACTTACCCATTAGTATGTTTTTCTAAGATATCTAAAACAGTATGATCGCAATATTCAAAGACAAGATGAAGTTTTCTTTTCCTTCGAAATACTTCAATCAAGTTGACTAGATTCACATGCTTTAATTGCTTTAAAAGATAATTATTACTTTATTACAAATAAATTAATTTTATATTCCTCAAATACTATTCATTTTTAATCAACTAAAGTGATTATTATTATTATTATTGTTATTATTTTTCAACTCTTCCTGCTCTGTAGACATTAAGAGAGCCTTTTCAGCAAATCCATTATGAATTTGGCCAGACCCACAATAGGGTGGCCAGGTGGTGAGGAATGATATATCAACCCATATACATTTAATTCTTCAATCCACAGTAGTACCACCTTAACTACTCAGCCATCTGGCTGTCAAACTAAAGTGATTCATAATGTTAAGAATAGTGACAGTAATAATAAAATCAATAAATTAATCAAGAAGCAGTGAAAATTTAAACGTAGATTTATTTTTGAAGTAATCACCTGTATAAAACAGTTTTAATAACAGAAACTAGGCAGTTTTTCTGTCTAAACACAAACTAAAGAATTGAGTTGAAAGCGCTAGCGAGTCATTAATATTGCTTTGGGGCAATCTACAATTTGACACTACCATAGCCTATGGCATAAAAAAAAGTAGAAAAATTGCACATGCTTGTACTAGCAACCTTTGACACTGTCATTTTAACTCCACTGTATTTTGAAAATGAAATCACGGATGCCCTGATTTTTATTATATTTTAAATTTCCTTGGTTCATGTTATGTAAAATGACAAAGTTTAGTCAATATTGACCAATAAAATTTTGGGAATGAACTCAATTGCGTAAACCATATACAAAGGCTTCACTAACGCTCTGCCTCAAATATGCTAATAAATACTAATTTCTTCTCTTTACTTCGTCAAGATCCAGTTCTACGAGTTTTTATATAATATGAATGATTATAACAGGAATATTTTCAAACAGATAGATTTTTTTTTTAATTTCATCAAATTACCTTCATGTTTTTATCTGCTTTTTCTAAAAACAAAATTCATCATATTTATAACTTAAAAAATAGTGTACAAATATATATAGAGCTTTTGTTCATTTAGAGATATTAAATTTCTACTAATATGCTCTATTTATACAATACTTCAAATAACATATGTCCTACAATAAATATTACATAATTAATCAATGTAAAATCGAGTAGTTAGGCCACTTTATCACATGACAGATAGCATCCAAATGACACAGATAAAGTACATTTCTCACAGACACAGCAATAAGACAGATGTCATATTTTAAGCAATTTCTTGAATCAGAAAGATAAAAATATAAGAAAATTTAAAAAAATGCTTACTTTAAGCATACGAATTTCACGCATGGCGATTTTTTTAATGAGCGGATCGTCTTCAGTTTCAACATACTTTTTCACAGCAACAATTTGCCCATTTTCCCGCCTGCGACATTTAAACACAACTCCATAGGAGCCTTCACCAATTTTAGATATCTTCTCATATTTCTCCATTATTGGTTGGTGAGGATAATATTTATATTTCCTATTAAAATAAAAAATTTAAGCTATATGAATATAATTAAGAAAATATTGATAAATGCAATAACAACACAGTACCCTAAAAATCAAGTAAATTAATACTTTAAATATTTTTAAAAATTATCTTTTTTTCAGTATATTTCCAAAATGTGAAATGTGTCATCAGCAGGAAATAGTGGAAAAGGGGAAAAATAAAAGTAAGCTTAGAAGTGAGCTAATTTAAAAACATACCAAATTAATATAGACTGCATAGAGTGATGATGTAGAAATAATTAAGAGAATAGTAAAGTAGAATAATGAAGTAGAATAGTTCACATTTCTTAAAGAGAAAGTCATCCAAGCGATTGCATTTTCTAAAACCAGCGTCGATTCTACTCACTATTCCGTCTCATCAAATCATTCTCCTGTAAAAAGGATTTGTTTTTTGTAATCCAAACAACCAAATCAATTCATTTTTTTTCTTAATATAATTATTCATGATCATTTAATAAACCATACTCCGGTATGAACAAATAACGATCCTAAAATATTACAGAGAAAAAAGTTTTCATTACAAATTTCTAATTTTCACTTTCCTTCTTCTAATTTTAGCATTAATAATAATAAAAAAATAAAATGTATATAAGAAAATGAGAGATTGCAGTCATAACTTTATTAACTGTAAGAAAATTACAATTTATTAGAGTAAAAATCTTGAGATCTTTGCAACTTTCAAGCCTTGCTGACTCATCTTCTGGGTATAAATTGTTCCAAAGAGTAAAATATATATATATACATTTAACTGTTAAACATCTTCAGGGCTTTACCTAAAATGTTTTAGTATGCAAACATTCCAGGTAAAGCCCTGAAGATGAATTCACTTCAAGATACATTCCAAGTAAAGCACCAAAGACTTGCCTTTGGGACTTAGAATGAAATCATTAAAATCTGAATGCAAGTCTTGGATTCTAAAGATTTTAAGATTTTCATTCCAATAAAGCATATTTTTCTTGTAATTTTATAAATTTCATAAGGATAGTTTTCATTTATACAATTGAAAATACATTTTGAAAAGTTACAGCATTTTATTAATTCATCATTTAAACTAACTATATGTAAACTACGCCACAAAAATATTTAATATTTTTAAATAACAAATATTTTATTAATTCATCATTTATACTAACTATATGTAAATCCTGTCACCTTACTACTTGATCTTAACCAATTCCAAATTATTTTAATGTTCCTCAATGCTTTTTCTAATATTATGTGGCATCTCCCTGGTTTAAGTATCTCTTTTATGTTCATTTATTTTGTTAATGCTTTTTTATATGAAAATATGTTTAATCTTTGTAATTTAAACTGGAAATTGAACATAAAATGTAAACACTGATTTGGAAAACTGTTTCAATTATTTATCATCATAAAATAAAATTTCAATCTATTAACAATTTTATAAACTTAAAGAAAACTGCTTTATTGGAACTCACTAACTGATATCAAATACAATAACCTTAAGTACTTTCAGGTTAGTAAACTCATATCAAGAGAAACAACAGTGAACTAAATTGACTGCAAAGTCAACTATAGCTGTTCAAATACATCTGGATGTTGATTTATCTACAAATCGTTGACACTGCATCAACTAACTACTCTATCCTTCTAAATGCAAATTTACTTCTTTTAATTCTATTACAAAATTTTTTCATTTGATCTTGGATTTTCAATGTATTGTTTTGAAAAAATTATATCTTTGATTTTTTAATAACTAATGTTTTACTATAAAAACATTTTCNAATAAGAAGTGGGGAAAAAAAAAATTATAGATTTTTCCCCACTTTCTACAATTAGGGAAAAAAATTATAGATTTTTTTCCCTAACCGTAGCATAACATAAATGACATTAATCACGTTTATTAATAAACTCTAATGTTATATATAAATACCTTTCCGAGTATACGTACATATATAAAGGTTTTTATCAGCTATTAAAAGAGTTTTCCACTTGGCTGCGGTCCGTTCCGAGTTCTTACGAATCGCACTTATTTGTTATTACGCCTGTTCGCCATCTTTGCCTTTTTCTTAAAAATCGAAGGGGTCACGTGACCCGGTCGCTATGGCAACTAATGCTAACAACACAACTATCGCTAAGCGACCGACCTTTCTTAATCAATGTAAACTGTAGCTCAATGTTCAGCAAAGACAATGACTGACAATAATAACTATTAACTATAGAAACAAAAGTAGAAATTTCCATGGTAATTCATAATAGCTATAATTTATAACAGCAATTTTCCTTTCTGCATGTTTTTATTTATTTTTTTAAAAATTTACACAAAATTTCCATAATTATCTTTTAACTCAAGCCATTTAATTGTAGCATGTGGACAATAACAGAATTCCTATAAAAGTAAATTAAATATTTTAACTACGTTCACTTACAGGGTAACTTCGTACAATAAAAATAGTAACGTAAGTTCCGATTTTCATCAATTTGCCTTTAATAATCTATGGAGAGAACGTTCTAGTTCTTATTTTACTTTGGACTGCAAATTAATCGGGATAAGAATAGCCAAAGTTGCCGTCGGTATTATACGTTGGCCTCCTTTTCTAACGGCATATCTTAAGAATGTATATATATATCATTATTCTACATTATAAAACTTCTATATTTACATATTAGCACAAGTACTTTGAAGGAAGGAAAACTCATTTATATAATTCTAGACACCTTTCTTTCATTTATGACTTTCAAATTTGCATAGAGCAAAGCAAAATATTGAATACTTTTCATATAAAATTCACATTTAATAAAAAATACACTATAGCATTTTATTACTGAAAAAATATAAATTATGTCAAATGCCGTACTTTCTAGAAATTTATTCCCAATTATATAATTAACCAATCAGAAATTTACTGCCGCACCATATGCGATGTCGTAAAAATCTATCTCTAGATAATTATAAACAGCAATTTATACCTTTATTAGAAAGTAAAAATAAAGAAAAACTGTTTTAATTTCAGCTTAAAATCATCTAATTTAAAAGAAAAGGGTATAAATGCAAGCATTCTGGATTTCCATTAAAGGAAAACAATGTTACTTTATCATTATAAAATTTTATTTGCAAATATATACCAACGATTATGCATTAATGTTGTTTTATTACGTAATAGATTACTTAGGACATCATTGTAAGAGAATGAAATCCAATATTCATTATAGATTTAAGTTATTATCATTATTATTATTATTGTTATATAATATTGCTCTTAGTTTAATATATAGATTTTACTTCCATTAAATACAAAGAACATCTTAAAATTTGGCCTTAAAATCATTACAAATTGCATCATCGCACAGATATTGATCCATTAGTTTAAGATTCATGAATTACTTTATCAATATTTAGATTTCTTTTGAATATTGATTGGGAATCGAAACCCGAGCATTAATTCTTATAAAAAAAAAAAAATAATAATAATAATAATAATAAATCCAAGTAAAACTTTGTAATTATAATTAACTAAACATTAAACTATTCTTTAAATACATAAATAAAAAATATTATTATTAACCTCATGACAATATTCATTAAATTTAGTAATATTTCTATAATTTCACCTTAAATTAATTAAATTTAAAAATAATTTACTCTAAATTCTAATTAATTCAACTTAACATTTAAGTATATATTTAAATTTAAGCAGAAAGTACAGAAAAAAAATTATATTATAACATGATTAACGGTATTGTATAAATGTGAAAATTATGCAAAAATTTATAATAATTTCTGATTTGAAAGAATATAAATNATGAAAAAAAAAAAAAAAAAAAAAAATGCAACCCGACGAATTTAATTGTAATTAACACACTTAACTGTCATTAACTCGCATTAATGCCTTTTATTTAATTACGTTTAATCATTTTGTTTTTTTTTTAAATTTATCTTTATTTATTTTTTGAATTTTCTGTTATCTTACTATCAGCCGCGATATATTTTAAGTAACACGTTTCATTGTTGCCAGATCGAATCGATCAATGTCAACCATTATTGATTTTTATAAAGTGACATTTCTTAAAAAAAAAAAAAAAAAGAAATCTTCGCTGCGATATAATTTAATCGAGTTGAATAATCGATGAAGGTTAAAATCGTCATGAATAATATATATTAACTTTCTTATCTACATAGAAATTTTTTTTTTTCGAGCGCGCGATTCATTTTCGGAGAAGAATCATGCATGCGTCGTTTCGTGAGATAATAAAGATACTAACCTAAATGGAAGCAATGGTGTTACGGGGTTCAGCACTTTTCTTTGGCCAAGTATACACATATCTTGGATGTCGGTCTCGTACATACTTTTTTTCCTCGTTTGCATAATGTGTACATACATGTTCGATACGGCGTGGATGACGTCCATCTGAAAGACTGCACACAACGTTAGTACTTCAGTACTCGAAAGTAAAGCAATGAAAATACATAAATCGACAATTTATATTAAATAAGTTAAAGGTAAAAAGTAACTCTGGTATAATATTTAATAGCAAAGCATACAAAACGAATCGATTGTGTACGGTACAGTACATTATACATGATCAGATAGACGAAGATCAACAGAACATTTGGCCGTGCTTCGGATACACAGGAACCTCAAAATTTACTATTTAACGTGATATAAATTAAAATTTCTTTTGATAAATGTTTATATTTGTTTTACTAACTTTATTTGTGCATTTTTATGGATTACTGAGAGGAAAGTTACCTGTACACGTGGATAGTCTACGGGTCCCTTTCTCGCCAGATTCAATCATATTATTTGAATATTTTATTTATTATTATGGATATGTTACAAATCTACGACAGTAAAATTAAAGTATTTTAAGCTTAATTAAACAACAGAATAAATTTATTAGATTTTATTATATTGTAATTTTTCATACTGTAAAGATTTTAAACGAGAAGGTAATGTATGTCACACGAGAAAAAGTTTAAACTGTTTGTTTCTAACAGTATTATTGAATTACTATATTTTAAAAACTATAACAATGCTAAATAGTAACATAAACAGTCATCGGTTGTTATTGCAAAACAGCATAACGATTATAATGAATGATAGAATTTATAACTGAAAAATTATTAAACCTCAGCTTATCACATTGTAAATAACGATAAAACAAAACAAATACAGCCAGAACAATTCTGAGACAGATTAAACACTTAAGAACTTAATTAAAACAGCAGAAGGAATTTATTAGATTTTATTGTGAGTGGAAAATAAACATGTTGAATAAGATAAGTAATATTTAAACTGTGTCTATTCGATTGTCATCTTTACACATTACAAATTACAGGGCAAAATCCATATTTAAAAAAGCATAAAGAAAACCAGAACGAAGTTAGATAGATAAATCATAAAAATCACACACAACACGCAACGACAGATGGTATATATATATATAAAGTGCTATAAAATATAGTTCAATATAGATGAACGATACAGAAGAATTTCAGAATAAAAAAAAAATTAAGTAACCGTTTTGACTTTTTGCTTTATTAATATTTTGTCCTTTAGTGGTATATTCACCTCCATTCGATGCTAGATCGAACGAGTTTTTATAGCTACTACTTTTAATAATTAAACTCGGGTCAGTTACTGTAATGGACGTCTTCCAGCTGGTCGATATGACGTCACACTTGGCATTTAACTTTTTATTTTTTTAAATATGCAAACCGCGCAAATTAATCCGGAAATTGGCGGTTACACCCAAATTTATAAGCTCTAAAGAGATTTAGAAGTGTTATCACGCATCGATAAATTTTTATATTTTTCAGGAAATTAAAATACATTTAAGTAACAATTATCGAGTCATGTGATAGTACTTAAAGATAACGTTAAAGAAGCACTTACCTTTATTTTACTTCGTTATGAAGTAATTTTGAGTTATATCTCATCCTCGCGTGCTAATAAACGAATTCGGAAGCATAAATTGTATATGCGAGTAACGAATTATACGGTTTCAACGATATAATTTACAATGGCACTTCATCACGTTGCTAGCGAGGATTGATCAACATGGCTGACGGACAGGAAGTACGTTATGCCATCTGGAGTTTGTTTTGTAAATAAAGGATTAATATTTTTATTTTATATTAATTTTTGTAGATTTTAAATTAATTAAGAAATAAATTTTAATTCATAAAAAAATATTAAAACATTTAATTAATTTAAAAAAAAATTATTCGTTCCTTTTATCTTCGGGGAGAGAGTCTTTGATGAAGTGTGATCGAATTTAATTTAATTTTATATTTCGTTATTTGTTTAAGCGTATCCGCTGATTTTTTTCCTCGGAAATTACGCATTCATATTCATTTTTAGATTATTATCTATCATATTTTTTTGTCGTATCACGAATAGTGTGTTAAATGAAGTAACATTTGACATTAGAAGGTTAACTAAGCAAAAAAGAAATAACTATACACCATTCTCACGGAAAACGAATTAAATATTTATTTAAAACAGTTATTTTTAAATTCACAATATTTTAATGGTTTTAGAATTTATTTATATTTAACAGAATATTGTCTGAATAATAAAAACAACCATTTTTGTTAGCGTTGCGTTGTCGCGTCGTTCGCGTGACACCTAAGCGACGCAACGACGTAATGAATGGCTGCATTACCGATCTAACAATTTTATTATTTCTTTAACAATAGGAAAACGTTTAAAAAATTGTTATAATTTTTAACATTAACAATAAAATATATATTAGTATCGAAAGGTAAACGATTGTGCGCGACGCAACTCTTCGCTAAGCGGGTATCGTGTCCTTGGTGTTATACAGGATGGTCCATTTTAATCAGTCCACTGGAATAACTCAATACGACCGTAAAAAAAAATATATATATATTACAGTAGAACCTCGAAAACTCGACCTAATGTGGACCGAAGGGTGGCCGAGTTTGTGAAAATGCCGAGTTATCGGGAATGGGGTTAAAAAAAATAAGTACGAGTATTTCCTCAGAAAATACTGTACTGTACTTGTACAGAATATAACAGAGAAGAATATAACAGAGAATAAACTGCCCAAATACCCTTAAACAAAGGAAAAGTACGTCCTTTATGAAGGCATAGAGCCT